GGTCAGATAAAGGTTCTGAATTTTATAACCGGCAAGTAAAAGAATTGTTAAAAGAGAATAACATAAAGTTATATTCAACTGAGAATGAAGAAAAATCTAGTGTAGTAGAACGTTGGATAGGAACAATGAAACAACGTATGTTTAAATATTTTACTGCTCACGAAACTAATAAATATTATGATGTATTAGATGATTTAGTTAAAGATTATAACAATACAGTTCATTCTTCTATTAAAATGACACCTGTTGAAGCAAGTAAAAAAGAGAATGAATCAACAGTGTATGAACATTTATATCCAGAAAAAGAAGAAGAAATTAAAAAACCTAAATTCAAAGTTGGAGATAGAGTAAGAATTGCAAAACTGAAAGGTAAATTTGAAAAGGGTTATACTACCCGTTGGAGAAGAGAAATATTTGTAATTGATGAAGTTTTAAATACAGATCCTGTTACTTATAAAATAAAAGATTTAAAAGATGAAGAAATTAAAGGTAGTTTTTATGAACAAGAATTACAGAATACTGATTTTTAGAATATAAAAATGAGTATCTTTGGAATCAAAAAACATAAAAGAAACAACTCTGAACTTGGTAATAAAATGAATATACCATTAGATATGAGCGGTAACTCTATAATTAATTTAGGAAATCCAGAAAAACCAAGTGATGCTGTTAGCAAAAGATTTGTTTTTAGGAGAATTAAAAGTGTAATAGACGACTATGAATTGGGAGATATAAAAAACATTAAAGACTTACTTCAAACCGAAAAGTCAGACATTGATCAACTTTCTGAAAGCATTAAAAATAATGAAGAAGCAACAATCACACTGCAAGGTCAACTCCAGAAAGAAATGACACTCTTATCAGAAACACTTAGTAAAACAGATAATGAAATAAAAGTTGCATTAAGGCAAAACATTCTTTTAATCGCAGACCGAATTGATAAAATAAAGAATAGCATGATTAAACACAACGAACTTAAGAACAAACTTGCTGAAGTTGAGAAAAAGCTACAACATATGTATCAGCTAGAAATAAAAGAAGAAATAAAAACGTTAAAAGATGACTCAACGGAATTGTTTAATACATTTTCTGAAAAGTTTGATGAATTCAAAGCACAACTAGAACAATCTGCTTCACAAAGAAGCGATGCACAAGATGGAGAAATTAATAATTTAAAAGTTAGATTAAATCAAATGAAAGATTTCCTTACTGATAATCTGCAGAAAGAAATTACCAGACTTGATGTGGATGTTAAAAATTCAGTTACGATTCTGAAAAGTAAAATAGAAGCTCTCGAAAAGGTGCAAAATAAACGAGCTGATGACTTAGGTAAAATTATACTTGATACAACCTCGGACCTCTAAGTAGTAAACAAGGAGATATCTGATATTATTAACAACAAAATATATCATGTTCCTTTATTCCATATGTGGAATGATTCTACTCTAGAAGTTAAAGTTTTACCTACTACTTACGAAATCGGTAAAAATAATCGTTATATTCAAACTCATAACCTATTTGAGTTTTTTAATTCTCATTATTCACCCTGTTGTAAATTATAATGATTATATAGAAGAGGAACGTGAATTGAATATAGGTAACTTTAGCAACGTGAGTGGTTTTACAACTAAAAAAGATGGAACATACTACATTAATATAAAACTTATAATAAAGGGTAAAAGCGACTTTTTATTGATATGGCAGGAAAATTACAGATCTGAAAACGAAGACAGGACTCATGAAGTACTTTTAAAAAAATCAACTGATGAAAATATTTTTGAAGACGTTATAAAGCAACAGTTTTTAAAGAATACATCAATTGCAATTATTCCAGTCCTGATTACCGACCAATTATTTACTATTGAAAAAGGTAGTTACATTAGATTTACTTATTCTTGGGAATGATTTCTTTTAAATTGTATTTAAAAAATTCCCTTTAAAAATGAAGCAACCAACAGCCCCGGATCCTTTATATCCAGAATTACCAGTAGAAAAATGGTCAAAATTATAGATTACAAAAAATATCAGAAATAGAAAAAAAATTAATTAATGAAAGGGATACTCGTAAATCATTATATAAAAAATATAAACGCGGAATTAATATTACTGATGGTGTTGATACAACTCTCATTTCTGGGAGTGTGGTTATGGGTGGTATTGGAATCGTAGTACCGTTTATGTTGCCATTAGAAATTGTGGCAGCAGTTTGTGGTGTAGCGGGGGTATGTGTAAAGTTTATTAGAAGGAGACTGCATTCAAAAGCAAAAAAGCATGATGAGATTAAAACTATTGCTGATAGTAAATTGAATAGTATAAAAGATTTGATTTCTAAGGCTTTAACAGATGGGCAGATATCTGAAAATGAATTTAAATTGATTTTAGATGAATTAGATAAACATAATAAACTAAAAGATAGTATTCGTTCAAAACAAACAGGATTGAGTGAGACAGAGAGAAAGAAGTTAATAGAAGAGGGAAAGGCACAGGCTTTAAACGAGTTAAAAAAAAATGGGAAATGTTTAATTTTATTTAATAAAGTTACTATAGTAAATGATCCACCACCAAAATATATTACGTATTCATAAAATTTTATTTTATGCAGAAATTTTCAAAATATGTAAATGAGCCGCTGTGGTAGACCGCATGCTATAGTGAGGTATATACGGTTGGATAATTCGTTTTTCATGGCCTTTTCACCCATGCAGATTTTGAACGATGGTAGGTTTTTGTACCAGCTATTAAATAGACACTCTTTGATCAATCGCGTGATTGCTTCATACTATTTAAATTACATTTTCTTCACGCGTTATCAATTTTACTTTTATATTTTGTCAATAAATCTTATTTCAGATTATAATATATTCTATACCTTCACTAAATGAACGGTAATCGTTGTTAAAAAAATGGGGTATAACTGGGAAAAAAAATATTTTTTTCTACTATAAATTCAGATTCCATTCAGAAAAAAAAGAAGAAAAAAAAATATTTTTAAAGGTGCCATTATGTGCGGTGTCTATTAATTTTTTTATTTTTTATGGGTCGAGGGTTCGAATCACGCCGGGGATAAAAAAATTTTTTTAGGGATGTTGGAGAAGAAAATATTTTTAAAAAAGTAGGTTATAAAAAAAGGGGTATAACTGGAAAAAAATTTCTTTAGGGTGGTGCGCTCGACACACTATGTTGGATTATATCTATATTGAGGGTTTTTTGAATGTTTGAAACCGTTATTTTGATGATTTAATGGTTTAGAAATTTCAGTTTATGTAATTAAGACGTTATTTTGATGATTTAATGAATTGTCATTTTGGGGTGGCCTAGACTCGATCAATCATCATACTACTGACCCCTATTGATTTAAGGCTCAAGGGGTCAAAAGTCAAGGTCACATTTATCTTGTAGGTAAAAACTGTTTGCGATCAATAACTAAATAACGCCTACGCCTAGAAACTTTTAACTTGGTTTGGTGATTGTACATGACAAGTAGATAACTGCTATTGATTTTGGGGTCAAATGTCAAGGTCACATTGACCTTGTATGTAAAAACAGTATCCGATCAATAACCTAAGAACGCTTAAGCCTAGGAATTCAAACTTGACATTATGATCGTACATGACCATGACATGACCCGTGCTGATTTCGGGGTCATAGGTCAAAGGGTAAGGTTACATTGACCTCGTATGTAAAATCGGTTTCCGATCAATAATTTAACTTAGGCCTAGGAAATTCAGTCTTGGTATTATGATTGTGCTAACGAGCAGATGACCACTTTTGATTTTGGGATCAAGGGTTTAAAGGTCAAGATCACATTGACTTTGTAGGTAAAACGGTTCTCGATCAATAAAAAAAGGAGGTTTAGGCCTCGGAACTTCAAACTTGGTATGATGATTGTTCATGACCAGTAGATGACCCCTATTGATTTTGGGGTTAAAGGTCAAGGTCAAGGTCCAATTGACCTCATAGGTATAAATTTTCCAATCAATAATTAAAGAAGGCTTAGGCCTCGGAACTTCAAACTTGATTTGATGATTGTACATGACCAGTAGATGACTCCTATTGATTTTAAGGTCAAGGTCACAATGACCTTTTGGTAAAAGACAGTTTTCGTTCAGTAACTAAAAACGCTTTGGCCTAGGAACTTTCAAAATTGGTATGAGGACTGTACATGACCAGTAGATGACCCCTATGATTTTGTGGTCAAAGGTCAAGGTCACATTGACCTTGTAGGTAAAAACGGTTTCAAAAAGTTAACATTGCCTAAGCATAGGAACATTAAACTTGGTATGATGATTGTTCATGACCAGTAAATGACCCCTATTGACTTTATGATCAAGGGGTCAAAGATCAAGGTCCCATTGACCTTTTAGTCAAAAAATTGTTTCCGACAAATAACTGAACAACTGAAATTGCCTTCGTTGATATTTTTTATTCAACTAGAAATGTTTTTCGTATACACATTTCAAGGTCTTATGTAATAAAACATATTGACTGTCATTAGGAGGCCTACATGATTCATACAATTCGTGCTTATATAATAATATTATTTTGTAAGATTTGTGATAACTTTGTCATAAAATTGCTGCACACAACCTTTACGGTTACAAATACCTAGTGACTATTCATGACAAATGGAAAACCCATATTTATTTTTGATTACTAGGTCAAAAGTCAGTCATAATAACCTGACCACATAACTAATTGGCTGCCGATAGGTGGCATACATGTTTTACAAACATATCTTGTTTTTTGTTTTTCTGTATTTTAGATTTGTCTTCAACGACAAGCCAGAAATTGATGGAAATAATGTCTTACCTTGTTTGTATGCAGCAAAAAGTCTGTATGGTCTTGTCAAACAATGCTCCGACTTACTTTTATTGAATTCGATGAGATAAACAATCTATATCATTCATTTACTTTTTATTGATTCATGATTTTTTTTCTTTTTTCTTTTTTTTTTTTTTTTTTTTTTTTGGATTGAATAATTTTCATTTTCTGTATTTCAGATTTGTCTACACTGACAAGCCAGAGATTGACGGAAACAATGTTTTACCTTGTTTGTATGCAGCAAAAAAGTACAACTTGTCTGGTCTTGTAAAACAATGCTCCGACTTTATTCAAAACAACATTGACGAGGACAATGTTTGTCAGATAATTGAGGATGCCATCTTTTATCAGATGAATCCTCTACAAGAGAGATGCCTTTTATTCATCATGGATAACGCATCTGAAGTCCTTTCTGCTCCAGGTTTTATAGAACTATCGCACGCAACATTGTTGAATATTCTCAAACGAGACGAATTAGCAAGCGAAGAAATTGATGTATTTAAAGCAGCAGTGAAATGGGCGGAACACAACTGTGAGTCTAAATCTGGACAAAAAATGCGCGATCAACTTGGGGAAGCTTTGTATCAGATACGGTTTCCGAATATACCAATAGAAGATTTTGAGCGAGTTGTTACACCATCTGGAATACTAACAAAGAAGGAGATTGTGGTGTTGTATCAATTTAATGCAACAAAAAGGTCGACACTTTTGGGGAAATTCAGACAAGAGAAAAGACCTAGAGCACCAGTTACTGTAGACATGAATATGTATATTAAACGTCTGGGTCAGGAGGATGGTTGTTTATTAGATATGCCTGAGTATGGTTACCGTTTTGAACGACCAGTTGCACTGGCCAATAGGCAACGGCATCACAAAGATATGGGTCAGTTTGCTGGTTGTGTTTTAAATATACAATGCTATGAAGACTTTCCTGAACTCAATAGATGTAATTTGGGTAAACGTCAAGTTGAACCAAGAGGCGAGTGTCCACAATTAAAGTATGTCACTGGAACGTTTGTCGGTAAGGTAAAAAGAATCTCTACTAGTGGAGGAAATGTTACAGATTATAAAATAAATGGAGATAAAATCATTTTCTTCAATCCCATAAACATATGTGGCAATACCGATGTTGAGTTTCATTTCAAAGAAGAAGCGGAGGGTCATTATCAGATTGGATACTTTCAGTCAAGCCATGTCACATATAATTGTAACATATCTGAAAGGATAAAGGGACGGAATATAACCATCACAAGCATTCCAGACGGCCTAGAAACCGCCAGTTTTGTTAAGAAATAAGGATGCTTACATATGCCATTTCATAAACAACATAGAGTTAGCCCATGAAGATGAAATGAGAGTGAAAGGTAACCGTTCGACATGTTAGGCTGTTTATTTGTTTATTAATATCTACGTGTACTGCTTTATAAATGACCGTGACATGTTTGAACTACTAAAATATTTGTCTATACACTTATTATGCGTGTACCAATTTGATATTGGCAGTGAAATCTTCTGTATGTGTTTAATCGATTTCGTTTGCCTTGACAACTTCTGTGTATGTTCCACAAAACATATCTTTTATGTGTATATGTATCTTTAACGTTGTAATGTTTTGGGGCTTTTGAGTTTGGTTTTTTTTGGGGGGGAGGGGTGACGGGTGTCGGTTTGTCTTTCTTTCTTTCTCTTTTTGAGAGTGGGAGGCAAGGTTTTTTGGTTGCAAATACGAGTTGATTATTTAGTTATTTCCCCATACGAAAATTTAATATTGTAAATATAGCCCATAAAATAATGTAAATATTGTGTATTGCTCGGGTTAACATTCCTTGTACTGTTAAGATATCTGTATTTAAGATAATAAATGTGTATACAACAGCTGAATAAACTAATATTAAACATATTTCGCTTGCTGCGTTTTTGCCTTGATTTTAAAGCAGTTATTGTTTTCGATTCCTCAAATTTTAAAATGGTATATATGTAAACAACAGCTGAATAAACTAGTCTTGGACACATTTTGCTCGTTGAGTTTTTGCCTTGATTTTAAAGTATTAATTGATTTCGATTCCTTATCTTTCATTTAATTAATTTAAAAGCATGCTTTTATATGAAGGATGTATCCAAACTGTTCTTTTACTGGCTAAAATAAAAGTGATTCCGTCATTTTTGTATTTTATCAAGTGTGTTAGAGGTGACAAAGCAGAACCTCCTTAAACCTACATGAAGAAATAACACTACTGTGGAGTTCAAACTGATTTTTGGTGCGTCAAGCCTCACTCTTACCCCATTATGGTTATATATGATGAACCAATGTAAATGAAATTAATCCCCGCCAAGTGAAGTTAGAGCAATTGTAGACGAAATAAATAAAACACACAAATGATATCGTAAATATATACAAAAAGGTACAGGCTCATGGCCATAACAAAAGTACTCGATGCCTACGAGGAAGGTAGAGCAACAGAAAAATTACTTTCAAGGGCCAGAAGTTTATATTTGTATGGATGTAAATACAACCATGATTATAACATACGCGAATATGTTTTATGTGAATATAATCTCAATCTCGAACTAAATGAAACTGCATATCTAACGAGTTGTGCGGATTCGTATTTCCAAATTAAATCAAAGCTCAAACATCTCTTTTGCTTATTTTCGCTGCTCTGACAAACGAAACAATCTCCCTCTGATTTGCAAGATATCAGTTTGTTTCGTGATAACGATAAATTTTATGATAATGAATTCGCCTTTAAAGTAAAGAAACTTAATAACAAAATATGCTTGTTGACACGATAAATAAGACCTTTTTTGAAAATCGCAGTTGATTTTGTATGTGATTGCGTGCGTGCGAGCGTGTGTGTAGCATAAAAATCGTACACCACTGGTCAGGTAGGATGTATGATTATATATTAAGTGGAAAAAAACTCGTAAAAGCATATAAGCAGGCAATGTGCATCAATTTAAAAGAAAATTGTCCACCTGTCAGAAATGATCAAAAATCGAATTACAAAACCTGCAAAATTAATTTATCAAATACTTTTTTTTACAGGCGTGTTGTCGTTTTTTCCCAATCTGATATAATCTTAATCACGCACGTCCTATTTCGTTTACGAATACCTGTTCTTTTTATTAAAATCGTCAAAGATTCAGATTAGATATGTTTACAAAGAAATGCATTATAATTTTCAAAGTGTTCTATTACTTTTAAAGCAATCAGTATTTGAAAGTTCTTTATAAAATAATTTATACACCTGTGTAAGGAGTTTCATCGAAATAAAAAAAGAGTTTTCCAATTCAAGTTAATACTGGTTTTGATATAAAAGATTTTATTTAAACGTAAATAAACCTTAATAATTTACTTATAACGCAGTTATGCTTTTTAATGTACCTTTTATTTGAGATATGCTGATATTTGCCCAGAAAGTATAACCATTCGGGTATATGTTTAGAGGAAAGGAAATCCTTCATTTTTATTTTACCAGATCGACTTTCTGCTTGTGTCTTTTGTATACTAAGTGTATGTTTTGATTCAGATATAAAATATAATTTAAAATACAATGTTGTTAGTAGAGATTAATCAGTAATATCATTAGTATTAAGGTATCTATGAATAAGATTGTTTTAAGTACAGAGTACTTTGGTTTTATCTTTTATTCCTTATAATTATACACCTGCTTTGTGCAGCATGCAACACTTAAATTCATCAAGCCGTCCTTGTCGTTTTTCGTTTTCCTGAATCATATGTTGCAATATGTCACATGTAACGTTTAGTTATGATAATAGTAAATTCATTGAGTTATTGTAAAACTGTTGTTTGGAGATGGAATGTAGAGTCCAATATACTGCTCATACTGAACCGTGTATCAGAAAGCATTATACTTTAAGTTATATGTATTATAAAATTTAGATGAACAAAACCATTTTTGTTGTGTACACTGTTTTACGGCGAAAACTGTAAGGGAATAGGAGACACACATCACTTTGTACATTATAATTAGTATTATTTTTTTTGTTGTTGTTGTTGTTGTTGTTGTTGTTTTTTTTTTGTTAGTTTTTTTTGAAAATAGGAAATGTAATTTGATTGTGACTTCTAAGTCATGCACTTTCAGATAACGTAAACAAATTTCTTTTCAGAAAATCTGGAAGGTCATCACAATATATCTTTTATCACATGCGCTACACCATGCCATTGAAAATATCTATAATTGACATGAGATGAAGGGTGGTTTTTGGGGTGGGGGAAATTCTGACTTTGGAAAAGAAGTTTTGTTATCGAAATTTAGAATATTAAGAGGAAAGTTTTATTGAGGTGGATTTAATTTTGTTTTACGAAAGAGTTTTTAAATGTTTTTCTTTTTATATATGTTCTTTATAATTATTTACTTCTTGAAGGTTCTTTTTCTGAAGCACAAAACACACTTTCGGGTCAAGCGCAAAAGGCTATATTTAAAATGAACAAGTACTTAATATATAAATTTACAAATATCTCTGTGCAACATAGATTAGAATTATTTGATAAATTAGTATTACCAATCTTGAATTATAGCAGCGAAGTGGTGGGTTTTATACACGGTAATGCTATAGAAAGGACTCATTTATCATTTTGTAAACAGTTACTTGGAGTTAAAAAATCAACACAAAATGATTTCATATACGGTGAACTGGGCAGACTTTCACTTCAGTCATTACGTTATTTCAACATTGTTAAATATTGGACAAAAATTATATGTACAAATGAAAACAAATATATAGCAAAGGTATATAATTATAATGTTGAAAAATGATTTAAAACAATTTCCTAATAAGAAAAACTGGTGTTCGTTGGTAAGAAATTTATTATGTAACCTTGGCCTTAATGATGCATGGTTTTATCAAAATGTCGGAAACGTAAATGTATTTATTAGTTAAGTTAAACAAAGAATTAAAGATCGATTTATTCAAAATTGGACTGGTAGACAAAATGATTCATCTAGAGCTTTGTTTTACAGATGTATTGCACAATTTCAACTACAATCATATTTAAAATGTTTAGGTGTAAGAAAATTCTGTACTAGTATGACAAAACTGCGGTGCTCCTCGCATAGATTATGTATTGAAACAGGAAGATAGGCAAGACCTGTCAGTGTACCTATAAATGAACGCAAATGCAAATTCTGCAATGTGTTAGAAGATGAATTCCATTTTGTATTACAATGTAGAATGTACTCTCAATTAAGAACACAATATATACCAATTTGTTACTGGAGATCTCCAAATATGTTTAAATTTATAGAATTAATGAATACTGGAAATCAATTGTTAATTAGAAAACTGAGTATATATATTTCAAAAGCATTCGTATTTTATATGGAGCTGATTAGAATGTTATTGATTTTCATATCTACATCTATGTCTATACTTTTGTTAAAGCTAGACTTATAGTACAACATTGTATGTTTCTCTTATCATATCATTGTCTCAATTGACATGTTGGTCAATATATGTTAGTCATATGAATATGTGATTTTTCTTCTATGTCAGTCATATAAATGTGTGATACATCCTATATAATATAGTTTTTATAGCTCAAATGTATATTTTACAAGCGAAACTGCTGTTATCTAATTGTTCATCCTCATATCTTGTCAATGATGACAATATCTGGGAATGAGGAAATACATAAGTAAACATACATCTTTAGACTATATAGCAAGTAACCGGGTGGCTAATATTGTATTTCGCTTTTGACAAGATTATCCTCCTTAAGTTTTTCAATCTATTCTTCATACAAAGTAGTTTATTAGAAAAAATTGTCTGGACAATACACATTTATATACAAATTTGTTCCATTTTATTAGATAACTGCAGTTAATTATGCTAAGAAATTATATGGTATATCAATATATTGTTAAAGCTATAGTGCGGTGGATGTTACATAACTCGATTTACAGGTCGAGCGATAAGACCATAGCAATTATCTCCCGTGCACAATCAAATTTGTTAAATAAATGCTTTACACATTATTAATGACAACAATGGTGTATGCAGTATGTAAAAATGAATGTAAAATTCACACTTTCGTTATCAACATGATTTAATTAAATATTCAATTGAGAAAGATTTGAATCTGTCAAATTATCTACTTCACTAGTGATAGATCCAATCTAATATGTAAAGCCAGTACAATTTGATTTTTGTCACACGTAAAACTTAAGTTGCATATATACTTTTGACACATACGACGAAAATGTGAATTACTATAAGCATGCACATCATTTAATAGGTAAATATATGTTTTCATTTCCTATGTAAAATGTGCTACTGTAATGCATGTAAGAGATCATGTCAATTTTGCACGTTTGCCATATTATATGTTTTGCATATTGTACCACATGGGTCTATGACCTTCTGGGAAAAGATAAATAAACTTGTTAAACTTGTTAAACTTGTTAAAACTTCTTGAATATAGGTTTAATATAAAACGCTATGTGTACAAATGCCAGCATCTTAGTGCAGTCTTCAAGTAAATGAAAAAAAAAACAGTTCATGTTCTCAAATGTATACGCATTAATTAAGATTGTATCCCTACCTATTGATTATTATATGAAGATTTATTTTATAGCAATGGAAATGTTATGTAATACAGTCAAACCCTATTATGTACAACAACAGCTAATACAAATTTACGTTCTTTTTGATATTCCATGACTTGCTTATTTCCGGTTACGAACTGTGATAAAGGAGTATTTTCTCTCATTATAAAGAAGTACGATCGATTATTACTACAATCACGAGTTCAATCAGTTCAGTTCTAAAGATGAATTATGTTGTTTTTTTTTTGTTGTTGTTTTTTTAAAGTGGCGAATAATGAACCCGTTACATTATAACCAAATATTTTGCAATAAAAAATGATCTCTCGAAAGC